CAGACATTGAAGGACCCGAGCCTCCTCAGGAAGTAAAGCCGGCTCAGGCCCTTCTTGTAGACGGCCTCTGTGTGAGTGGACCAGTCCAGTTTATTGTCCAGTGTGATACCCAGGTACTTGTATGCAGGTACCACCTCCACATCCGTCCCACCGATGCAGACAGGAGAGGGCACGGGCTTGTTCCTCCTGAAATCCACCACCATCTCCTTCGTCTTCTCCACGTTGAGCTGCAGGAGCATGTAACAAACTGTGTATAAAGTTGTTAGTGGTTAAGGCGATGGACTCGAAATCCATTGGGGTAACCCCTGACAGAAAGTCAAATGCAACAAAACTTTGTAGAATTCTTCAACACATCTTTAAGGATGATTGAGTGACTCTAAATGCAGGAGCAGTCATTTTATAGTTATCCATAGTTTTACAATAAATTGAAGAAGTAGTTTAACTCCCATTTAAGGGACATGCCAATGATGCATTGCACCATCACTGCTGAATCTTCTAATAAAATGGAAGCATTTTATTCAGCTCCACTGTGATGGAGGATGCATCATGCATGTGTTGCATACACTGCAGAAGACTACAATTAACTAGAGTCAGCTATGTCAGTCGGTCCGAACCATTCAGAGCCTTGTGAATTTATTCAACAGGACATTGTGTGGGTTTAAGAGGGACCCACTGAACAGAAGGCAGATCAATTGAATTTATAAATATAAGTTTGCGATGGCTGGGAATCGAACCCAGGTCAACTGCTTGGAAGGCAGCTATGCTCACCACTATACCACCATCGCCACATCTGCAATGGTTTTCCCTCACAAAAAAGAAGACAAGAGGAGAAGAGGGGGAGCACGTAACACTGAGCCTTGTTTACCTAATACACCCATTGTCTCTACCATGTTTATTTTCAGAGCTGTGTAACTTTTAAAATGCCTTTTTTTCTCCAGCAGATGTTGCTCTTACTGTTCCATCCCATTACCATAGGCTGAATAAAAATGTTAAGGAAAGACAAACTAGTGGGGAGTTTTCCTGTGTGACTATCCTGGGAGGGTAGAGTGATCTTCTACTTGTGAGCCCACATTTGAAAAGAAAAAATTCCATGGTGAGGAGGAAAACCAGCATGATGACCAAAACACTACGCTCTCTCTGCGTTCACAAACTGTTTCCTGCCACGTGGTAGTGCTTAAGGAAACATCTAAAACTAACAACCTGCCTGCTGCAACATTCATTTTCCTACAGTGTCATTTTAAGAACAGTTTGAATAATACAACCTGTAAATTGCATAGTTTGTCCACAGCTTATCACACCATTGTCAATATAGCTACTAGGTTTTTCCATATAAGATAAGATAAGAGTGGATAAGATAAAATAAAATAAAAT